AGAGCATATTTGTTTAAAGTATATATATACATTAGGCTTTATGATTATTGTTCACAAAATGAATATATGCACATATATACGTATACTACAATTTATCGTTTGACCTTAAGAAGTATATCCGGTTCTTTGTTATTGTTCACTGGTGAGGGGCGGAGTGGTTTTGTTCAGCAAACAGAAGAGTAAATCAGTAGTAGATTAGCATGTGAAGTTAAGGCGAATTGAGTGTTTGTTTGTTTGTTTGTTGCACTTATACATTCTCTTATTAGTGCAATAAGTAGTATATACATATATATATGCATATAAATATAAATGTGTGCGGCTAGAAGATGATGGGTGCCGTCGGTGGCACAGTGGGAGAATGCTCGCCTACCACGCTTTATGTGGTCCAGGGTTCGATCCCCGGCCAACAGACGCACTCCTTTACCTCGCTAAATCACTAATAGCACTGGTAAAGAGGCAAGGATGGGCATGGGGCTAGTAGCAACCCCATCTCGTAAAAGTAATAAACACCACTACTACTACTACTGAAACTTCAAGTCACTAGCTTGAAGCCTCCAATGTTCCACCACTGGGGAAACGTGAAGGAATAGAACAAAAGAAAATGATTTGGTTGTATTGCAATAGAGAATATGATGCAATTTTACACCATTAGTGCAAGGCAACAATTACACTAAGTCCCGTCATAGCTTTTTGAAAGAAAAATAATATATCTAAATAATCTGATACTTACTAAAAGTTATTTAAGATTTTCTTTTTATGCGTGGGTAATAGTTCAATGCTAAAGTGCTTGCCAGTCATGCGTAGAAGGGGTGTGGTCAGAGTTCGATTTAACTGGCTGCGATAAACTCCTAGAAAATTCAGTTGGTGGATGGTGACTAGCAGTGGAATCCAGCATAAAGCGCATTTCTTCCTCTACTTAGGACTTGTCAGCTGGATGTACCTGCATTAATATGACCCGCTGCACAAGAGGTGGCTCTCGTGGCCCAAGTGGTTTAGTGGATGACGCTTTGGTGTTTGAAACTATGAGCACTGGGTTCGAGCCTCGGTGGGAGCATTATCACTCACTGCGGAATGCAGGTACATACACTAGCTGACGAGTTCCAAATAGGACGAAATGCGCATCCTGGAGGATTCCACTGCCGGTCACCACCCACCAATTAAATTCTAGTTACATGGAGACGGATTGGCCATGCTCTGAGGAAACTATCAAGTGACATCACTAGACAAGCCCTCGAGTGGCACCCCAATGGGAAGCGGCGAGTTGGTCGTCCAAGGGTGACTTGGAGGAGGTCATGTGAAGGGGAGGTAAAAGCCTCTGGGCAGACGTGGAACCTGGTGAAAACGTTGTCAGGGAACCGAACGCAATGGAGAAGTGCGTGGCGGAATCCCTATGTTCCTCTTGGAATTAAAGAATATAATAATAATAATAATACATGCCCAGACATCGTCGAAGCAGCTTCACAAGAAGCCGACATGTTAAGCTGAGACCGAGCACTTCGGTCCAATCAATCGACGGGAAAATCTAACATTCAATTAAATCCTGGAAAATCTGCCCAGTTTACCAAGTGTAAAAGAGGGTAGAGGTTAGGCATATGTCTACCACGTAAAAATAACACCATCGTGGTGATCAAAAGGTCCTAGGTTCGAGTCCCAGTAGGTGTGTACTGAGGAAGAGTCTCAAACTGGGACGAAACAGCTGTCCAGTCCTCCTAGCTAGTTTTCCATCGGTTCTCTGACCGATGTCAGCGCATGATAAAATTCTGTAATTAATACCATCTATACTAAACTTTTGATAAGCTTCAGCTTCTATGCTCCACTCGGAGCACATTTATGTCTAGTCAAGCTATTTTAAGTTTCCGCTTTGCAAGTATACTCAATTAGTTCAGTTTTTGTAAATGTGTTTACAGACGTTCTAATTCTCCGGTTTGAGATAAGCTGCTGTTAGTTTGTAGGGATTTGATTTGTTTCAAGTTCGACAGCGGACGAGTCCCGAACTAGGACGAAACAGCTATCTAGTACTCTAGTGCTACTTTTCAACGCTTCTCTAACTGATCAAACTTAAAATAAATCGAATTTTTACAAATTAGCTCTCGAAAAATAAAGTGATACTGACTAATGACTGGCTGGCTACAGGACGAAGTTGACTGGGGTTAGTTCTAGTGAGAAGTCATGAGCAATAAGGTCCACCTGACCAGAGGTGACATTGGCTAGTGCCAGTGGCGCTAAAATCACGAGTTGGTAGACGGCAGAATTCATAGACTGGGTCGGTTTCCAGTGGCTGAATGGTCTATGAGCTTGGTTTGTAACCGGGAGGGTTATAGGTTCAGACTCCAGTGAGTATGTACTTGTGTCGTCCCAAATTAGGATGAAGCAGTTGTTCAGTACTCCCTGGTTTTTAATGGTTTACCAACTGATGTGTTTAGTTGTTTAATACAGTGTTCTCGTTATTCTTAAGCTGTTGATTTAGTTCCAGGAGCTACTAACGATATACAACTTACTGTACCATACCAAAATCAAAAATGATGACCTTCCGTATCTAATATTTAGTTGCAATAATAGTTGCAGATGCAATGAGGAGTATTTAAAAAACTTACGACGCATACTATTCCAGCACATTACGAACGCATCACTTAAAGCAACAGTAGACGGTGTAGAACAACATTAAGGCGCTCCAACAATAACAAGGAATAATATATATTTAATAAAGTTTTATGTGTAATCCAGTAATCATGCACAGATATGAGACACATTCAGAATGCGAAGAACGCCAATCCGTTTCTTTTTGTCGATACCTTCATGAGTAAGGTTAGATTCAAGCTTTTGATCGTCGACTGAAGTTCTACTAACTTAACCAATGAACTGTTGTTGCTCTCTACTTTTCTGTAACTCTTTAACTGATGATTATTCACATAAGGTATTTCATAGTCCGTTTTTATGACTACTAAACTCTGCTAGTTATATATTAATGATAATCAAAGTATACACTTTATATCATGTAACCTGTCATAATATAGATAATCACATTTTCATATTCTGAATGGTCTACGAGATGGCTTTGTAACCAGAAGGTTGTGAATCCGAACCACAGCGGATGGGTACCGATGAGGAGTTCGACGAAACAGTTGTCCAATACTCCTAAGTGGTTTTCCAATGGTTCTGTATTATTATTATTATTGTATCCTTTAGTTCCTTTAGTCTGTCGAAAACAGACAGACAGACAGTTCCTAGAGGAACATAGGGCTTCAGCTGCGCACCTCCATTGCCTTCGGTTTACTGACAACTTTTTCACCCCGCTCCAGGTCTGTCCACATGCTTTCATCTCCTCCCCGCATGATCTCCTCCAAGTCACCCTTGGACGACCAACTCGCTGCCTCCCTTTCGGGTTCCACTCGAGCAATGGCTTGTATAGTGATGTCACTTGATGGTTTCCTCAGAGTATGGCCAATCCATCTCCATTTCTTCCTGCCTATTTGTTTCACAATCGGTTCCTGATTGGTTCGCTCCCAGAGATCCCTGTTGCTGATCTTTTCTGACTGGCCATCTGATCTTGAGGAAAGTATTGAGCGAAGACAACTGTTGATGAAGGTCTGAAGTTTGTTTGAGATGCTCTTTATGACTCGCCAAGTCTCTGATCCGTATAGTAGTGTGGAAAGGAGTACAAATATAAATATTAAACAACTTCATAAACATTAAAAAAATTTTAAACCCAGTAGCACTGACTTTACATTGGAGCTGAAAATCCGGATCTTATTTTTGATGCTGAGTGCTGTTGACCTCCATACAGACTTGAGAGTAGTGAAAGATTGTCTTGCTTTTCCGATTCTGGATTTGATATCCTCGTCAGTTCCGTCCACCTGTAGTTGAAACGATGCTTCCCATTTCGGCAGATAAAGGAGTTTGTTTCTTTCAGGTTCCTCCCATTTATGCTGATTGTTGTTGTTGGCTAGGAATCTTCATCACCTCTGTTTTATCTATGTTCACTTGAAGTCCTATCTTTGATGCTTCTTCTATCGCTAGCCTGTTGCTTTTCACTTGCATATCTTCCAGTTTATGGGAAATCAGGCATATATCATCGGCAAGGTCAACTCGGAATCAAACCTGTTCTTTTAAATAGTTTTCAAATAAGGTTGTTCTTCACAAACACCAGTGTTCTTTACAAAATATAACTGACTTGAGTTTTCAAAGAAGAATTGCCGACAAAAGTGTACCAGTTCGATTTGCCACACTTTATATAGTACGCAAAAGGTAGGTAGAGGAAGATGAAATTTCAATTAAGCTGCAGTGTATGGGAGAAAGTATTTGATCGGTCTAAGAATTCATAGAGTGTGAATGTATTTACGCTATTAAGTCATGTAACAGTCTGCAACCATTGGTTCTCAGCGTCTCAATGGACCCTAGACACACAATCTACACCCTCCTATGTGACTACGATCAACAGTTATAAACTGCATAAACTGGTGTCAGGTTTTATCTAAGCATCTGTAACTATTGTTCAACTCAATCCTATGTCAGGTAACATTGCTCGCCGAGGAAGACAATGGCTTGGTGTGTAAAACACATTCTTGATCATCTGAATCAATGCAGTATCATAAACTCTCCGGTTAACTTTTTACTTGTTATCCAACACATTACACCTAATCTCATTATTACTCATTATATTACAGGACTTAACACAAGAGAAAGAACTCAAGCCTTTTTAATCAAAGACAACTAGCCTCTCCACTGTCCAAGGGTCTATATCACGTAATCATTCAGAAGGATAAAACAAACCGTTCTGAAGAACATGTTCTTCGATGGATAACCGGATAGCAAGTCAACACCAAAGATACCCATAAATCGGTAAATGTCACACAAACCTTTTTTTTTATCCTTACTGAGATTTCGTCAGCAAAGAGTCCTTTTAAAAACAATTTGAAAGTATGTAAAAGATAAAAGAAATTGTGTAATCTTTTTTTTTTAATGCATAAATAAATAAAGTCAACTAATATTTAGCTACTTACCTGAGTTCATTTACAAGTGTTAATTTTCCCAGCATATGTTCAGGTACACTTGCTTCTTCTTGGCATTCTTTTCGAGCACATTCCATTGCATCTAAACCATAGGTTAAACCACCAGCAGCCTAAAAAGTTAATACAAAAGAAAAGAAAAGTAGAATGTAGGCCAATAATGCAAAATCACATTGGCTATCCAGCTAAGTTTTCTTCTACAAATTTGTAAACATGCTAAATTGAAAAGACAAACGGGTGGGATTATTTAATTAATAGTGACACTATATCTGAAATAGCCTTGAGTTATTATTTGTATTATTATTTCCTTTTGGTTTCAGAACATCTCCACTACATTCTGTTCTCGGTTGTCCTTTCTTTTTTGCTGGCTTCAAGAGTACCAAACAAGCTTTCATTTCCTTTCCATGCGATCTCCTCAATGACACCCTCAGACCCATGCTGTCTGTCTCTCTCTGTCTGTTTTCGACATAGAACTTTGCAAAAATGTGCATCAGTTCAAGTCGCCACACTCCAAGTAGCACGCGAAGCAACAGAAGAAAGTACAAGAAAAGCATAATAGAGACAGTAAACAGAGGTGTGAGACAAAGGAGTAATAACGAAGAACAAAACAGTTTCATTGGAGATCATAAGTCACAAGGAGTGGATGCATCTGAGCCACTGAGAACGATTTTGAGCCATGTCACCAATTGTTTCCAACCATTGGTTTTTACCGTCCCGAGGACCCCAGACTGGAAGTCTACACCTTCCTACGTGGCTTAGACCAACTGTTGTGGACTTCATTGACTGGTGACAAGTTTTTGTTTGACCTCCGCTAGCTTTTTTCCAGCCTGACCCTATATCCGCTAACATTGTTCGTCGAGGGAGGCGATGACTTGGCATACGTAACACATGTCCTAACCATCTCAGTCTTTGTAACTTCACGACTTCGTCGATTGATTTCCCCTGTTTACCTAGAACTCAACGTCTAACCTCAATGTTGCTCACCTTATTATGCCACTTTACACGGGAATTAGAGCGCAGTCACCTATGATCAAAGACAGCTAGTCTTTTCATGTCTTCTACTCTCAGTGGCCAGGTCTCACAGCCATAAAGGAGGACGGAGCGGACTGATGAGCAGTACACCCGCCCTTTGGTCGATAGTCGAACATCTCGTCTACGCCAGAGTCGGCGTAAACTGGCAAATGCAAAACGAGCCCCCTGTATTCGTGCTGAGATTTCGTCAGAGATCAACCCGTTGGCATGGCTGATGGTACTTCCCAAATAAGTGAAGCGGTCAACGTGCTCTACCACTTCACTTCCTATTTTTAAACTAGGCGTCGATGTAGTCCAGTCCTGTAACATCATCTTGCATTTGGCGGGAGCGAATCGCATGCCAAACATTCGTAGATTGCGGCTCAAGATGTTTAGAAGACTCTGCATTTTGTCAGAGTCGTCGCCTAGGAGGACTATATCGTCTGCATATTCTAAGTCAACGAGATTATTCCCTGGTAGCAAGTCAATCCCATGCTGTAACTCATCGTTTCCCATTCGGGGTCGACTCGATCACCTGGCTGGTGAGTGATGCCATTCAACGGTCTCCCCAATTCATGTCAGGTCAACGCCTCCATTTCCTTCTGTATGTATGTTGACCAAAAAGTTCTGGGTTATGATAAAGCATACAATGTATTCAGTTAAATTATGTCAATTACATAAAATCACACTGGCTACCCAGATAAGTCGTCTTCTTATTATTATTATTTTGATTGGACACTAGTAACTAGTGTCATGTGTCAAGTCTGTTTGTTTGGTGAAGACTGAGTTTTATAAGCCAAGTTTGCAATTCGGCCATCATTCTAGTTGGCTGGCCATCACGGTACACTCAGGATTGTCGTTATTAGATGATTAGAGGCAATCGGCCACAGGAAGCCTTGTTTGACCAAGATTTCATGCCAAGTTGGCACTCATCAGTAAGGCGTATCTGCCATCTTGAAGGAGCTTATGTCCCTTCCGAGAAAAGAACCAGTGTCATCCAGTGCTGAAGTCAGAGACGTAACCACTGAGCTATTCGGACTCGCAATTGACCTCCTCTAAAATTGTATTAGATACTTTTGATTGGACACTAACTAATATCATGTGCCCAGTCCTCTTTCTACTGCAGACTGAATTCTATCTTCTTCTATGAATTTCTGAATGTAGTGAATTAGAAAGAGAGGGGAAGCCATCTAAAATAGACGTGATTTATGATTATTATCCCTTTTGGGTTTCGAGTAGGACATACGCCTTCAGCAGAACATCTTAACTTTATTCTGTTCTATGCTCTTTTTCAACTGTCTCCAAGACTGTCAGTAAACTTTCATTTCCTTATCCCATGATCTCCTCCAAAGTCGTCCTCGGATGCCTAACTCGTTGTTTCTCACTCGGATTTCACATGAGAGCCAAGCGTGAAATGTTACTCATCAATGGCCTCCTCAGTGTATATACAATCCATCTTCATTTCCTCCTGCATATATGTCGGACGATAAGTTCTGGATTGGTTTATTGGCGGCGGCGTCGGTGGCACAGTGGTTAGGACTCTCGACGACCATGCACATGGTCCGGGGTTCGAGCCCACGCCGGTGCACACCTGATATCTATGGTCGGCCTGCGAAATTTGGGCCACCGATATCCATGCTGAAAATTCCATACTTGTACCAAAAATACAGTGTGGAATCAAGCTGTAAATAAAAAATAAAAAAAATAGAAAATAAAATTCCCTTTTCTTCACGCTTGTTCTTTCTAGTCGTGTTTGTTCTCCAGTATGCGACGAAAGCAGCTGTTGGTAAAAAATCTTTAGCCTGGTGGAGATGCTTCTGATGATGCGCTTTAACAAAGTCTGCAAACCATAGAGAAGAAGCAGCAATGACTTACTTCACCTTAGTGTTGAAAATTTGAATTTTCTCACACTGAATTCAGGGGAATCAAGATCAGCCTTTGTTTTTTTTTGTTTTTCGATTTTAACTGGATTTGACACCGTCACCTGTAGTGCCACTTGCGGTTGAAACGATGTGGCTTCGGTCGGTTAAGTGAGAGACGAATTGATATAAGTATAAAACTTAGGCACTGTAGTGGTAGAGTATAACTCCATTATGGATAAGATTTTATTTTGATAAATCACACACAGTGTTGTACAGTTATATTAAGTGATGACGTTTCGAGCACAAACTATTGCTCATAATCATATCATATCAATAACTTGATGTGATTATGAGCAGCAATAGTTTGTGCTCGAAACGTCATCACTTAATATAACTGTACAACACTGTGTGTGATTTATCAAAATAAAATCTTATCCATAATGGAGTGAGAGACGAATTCTTTCAAGATTTATGCGGTTTATAATGATTGGTGTTCATTGTTGTTGGCTAGGTGTTTTCATCACCTCAGCTCTCTCTCTCTCTCTCTATGTTCACTTGAAGTCTTGAGCTTATATCTTCTCAAGTCTTGTTATCAATCCTCACTGCCCACATTCTATTGTATGATTCAGTGCATCGTAATCGGGAAAATCATAAGTGATAATAGGCATCCTTGAGTTATCAGACTGTTAGCCTGTTCCTCTATCCCCTCAACATGAATAAAATACATACAGGATCTAAGAAACAAACAGAAAGTTATTTCTCCTTGATTCACATAACATCTGGGGACTATCCCCGGAGATTTTAGTGAAACAATGGTCTGGTTAGAAGTTACGTCTTATAGCTCAGCTGGTAGATCACCAGTCTAATCATATTGAGGCCACTGGTCCGAATCCCACCGCGAACCAGATTTCCATTTCTTTCTCAGCAGTCAGTCATCACCGATTACACCAGCCCAGTGGTCTCACTATCGATTACATAACAGTTACTTACTTAAGAACGTCTAGTAACCAGTCACCTCTACCCTAGATAAGCATTATAGAATGTTGAATTTATAACCACAAGTTTAATTATGATTATACATTACATATTTTAACCAAATGTCTAGACGTCGACTACGATAACAGGAGTCAAACTTTAGCAAACAAAGTAGATCATAGTAAAGAAACATTGGAAATGGTAAGCTTGTAAACAAATTATATTTAAGAAATATTAGTTAAAGAACCATTAGAAAACCAGAATTGCAGGACAGTTGTTTCGTCCTAGTTTCAGACTGTTCAGTGGCATTTACCAGCCTGGATTCGAACCCCGGACACCCTGGTTACAAGGCGAGTTCTTAGATCATTCAACCACTGAAACCCAACCCAGTGTCTAGTGAATTCCAAAGTCTGCCCATTCGTAATATATATACCCAGCCGATGTTATCGGCGGATATCTCTTCTCTTACCTAACTTGGTAGACCCCGTTGACTTCATCACTGGAACTCCAGGTAATTGCATGTAAACAGCTAGTCACTGTTGAACGATCAGATTAACAGTAATTCGCTTTGTAACCAGAAAGTCCTAGGTTCAAACCCTGGTCAGTGAGCGTTCTTGAAGAGTCCCACCCACTACACTAGGACGAAACAGCTGTCCAGTACTCTCTGATGGTTTTCCAATACTTCTCTAACTGATATCACCCCTCATGATCAAACCTGTAAACAATCAAACCTGTGCAACAAACCAACACTTAATAATTTCACAATTATTGATGTGTGATTGGCTGCTTCAAGGTTACCTTGGAAGGTCACTGAGTCAGTCAATCAATCAGTCAATTATTGGTGCTTTGGCTAGCACAATAGTTTATTCAACCTCTGTCTGATAAAAAAAAATTGACTGTAAACAAAACACCTTTGTTGAGGTAACAAGACACATGCATACACCCACCCACACACGCGAAAAAAGAAACAATACCTGGATATCAGTCAACTTCTAATGAATGAATCTATTATGTAACAAGTGTAGGTTAAAAGTCCTTTGAATACTTCGCGTACAGGATGTGAATTATAGAATAATAGCGCACAATATACATATGTATATGACATTGCCAAGTTTATCAAATTAGTAATGAATTAAGAAAAAAAAGAGGTTAGGTAACAAAAGCAAACAAGCACACCACCAACAACACCAACACCAAAAAAAAAGAGAAGCATATTGACTAACCATATTATCAAGCATTCCAGGCCATGTAGGCTTATCCATTGATCGTAAACCAAGCCACATAAATACATTATCTGGATCAATTTGATTCGATGGACTAGAATCATTACTGACATTTAGTAAATTTCCATTGGTAGTTCGATTAGATTTTTGACTAATATTATTATTACTATTACAACTACCATTACTACTACTACTACTATTAACATTATAACTCTTTATACGATTTGAACAAAATCCATTCACATGTACACCATATCGTATAATACCCAATAGACATGAAGCTGAACGTTCAATTCGTAGTAAGGCTTTTTCACGATGACGTATATAGACACCATAGTCCTGTTATATAATATAAGAAAATAAATAATATATATATATATATATAAAGTTAGTTTAACAGGCAAAGAATACAATAATCTTACATCTCCGAAAACTGGTATTACAATTTATCCAGAATTCGGGGTTCGATCCCCGGCCAACAGACGCACTCCTTTACCTCACTAAGCCAGAAATAATAATGCTGGTAAAGAGGTAAAGTTGGACATGAGGCTGGCGGCTAGCAATCCCATCCCATAAAATTAAATACCACTGCTACAGAAACTTCAAGCCACTAGCTTGAGGCACTCTGTTCCACTGGGAACGTGAAGGAAAGGCCACTCACCAATAATAAGTAAGAAGGCATATATTGTTGTGGTAATGTTAATGATTAACTAGGACAATAATTTACTATCAGTTTCTATTATTCAGGAATGAGTTCAACCAGACAGGATAATATCGTCTTTCGAATTGTTTAAAACGCGGAAAAACAGATTGATTGATTGAGATTTACACTTTGATTGGACACTAGTCAGTAACTAGTGTGTGATGTGTCTAGCTAGTCCTTGCTTTCTTTCTTTGGTGTAGACTGAATTCTATCAGTCAGTCAAGTTTGCAATGTGATCAGCATGCCACTAGACAGCTCGTCATCACGGTGCACATTGATTAGATGATGTTAGATGGCTAGATATCTTGTACCTAGGTTTCGTGCTAGTTAGCAATCGCCAATTAGCAAGGCAAGAAACTGATCACCCCTCTGAGATTTGAACCCGTGTCACCCAGTGCTGAAGTCAGAGAGGTTACCAATGAGTGAGATTTAAGCACAAAAATAAAGATATATGACTGACTGGTTTCAGCATAGAACTTTGCAAAGCAGTGCAACAGTTCGAGTTGTCATACTCCATGAAAAGCACACAGCGGAAGGCAAAAGAGAGGAAAAAAAGATATTCGAAAGGATGACAATAAGTAGAATTGTGAGAGCAGAACACAGTCAGTGAATGCATCTGCGCCAGCCATTGAGAACGATTTTCAGTTATATCACCAATTGTCTCCAGCCTTCATTGGTTCTTATCATCCCGAGGACATCGACCAATGTAGTCTACACACCTCCATGGGTGGCTGGTTCAAACTTACTGCTGAAGATTTCATCGACTGATGTCATGGCTGAGTTTGATCACCACCACTAGGTCTTTTCCAGCATAATCCTATGCCAGTCAACATTACACCAGTCCATCGAGAAAGGCATTCGACCTATGCCTAACCTCAATATTACTCACCTTATTATACCACATAATATGAGAGATAAGATGCAGATACCTATGACCAAAGACAGCTAGTCTTTTCATGTTTTCCAGTTTCGATGGTCATATTTCACAGCCATAAAGGAGGACAGAACGAACTAATGAGCAGTACACATGTTCCTCAGTCGACAGTCGGATATCAACATCTACACCAGAGATAATGCAGGTTCGCAAATGCTACACAAGAATTTTTTTATCCATGCTTACATTTCATCAGTGATCAGACAATAATACAACAAAAACAACAACAAAATCACTGAAAATCAAGGAGTAACAGACATCTGTTTCGTCATAGTTTGGAACTCTTCATCAGTAAACGCTCATCACTTCGCACAAGAATCTAATCTAGAACTACTGGATTTGGCCTCAGTGACTGAATGGCCAACGCTTTCGCCTTACGATCTGCACCTCGTGAATTCTATCCCCGCTAACGTCATGGGTGCGTATTGCTGAAGAGTCCCAAACCAGGGCAAAACCGTTGTCTAGTATTATTCATTCATGTGAGTTTTCCGTACGACCGACTGTTTTGCTTTTCACCGAGTTAACTAGGAGTGTGTCGACCAGGAATGGAATCCCACACCATGTACGTAGCCAGTGGATATTTCATCCAGCAGTACTGTCTAGTTTTCAATGGTTCTTTATTTGATGTTAACAACAGAGAACTGGTAGAATTGTTCAATCGTTTTGTCTTCTTAATTTAAAGTAAAAATTAGCAACTACTACTCCACATGGAAGAAAATAGTTATATGCGGGCGAAAACCACTTCACTAGAGAAAGTAAATAATAATTTCTTATTAGAGGAAAAAATGAACAATATGGGCCGGAGTTGTTTAGAAAAAAATTATTACGGCAATTTATAGAAAAAATGTAAATGATATAACAATTTCACAATTAGTGATTCACAGGGTCCAAGTATCCATGTATACATACATTATTATTAGTGTTTCCTTTAGTTCCTAAAGGGACATAGGGCTTCAGCTACTCATGTCTCAATTGCGTTTGGTTCCCTGCCAACGTTTTCACCTAGCTCCACGTATGACCACATGTTTTCATCACCTTTGTACATCCTCCTCCATATCACCCTTGAACTGACGACCAACTCGCTGTTTTCCGTTCGGGTTCCAATCAAGTGATGACCTGTCTAGTGATGTCACATGATGGTTTGTTTTCTCAGAGTAACGCCAGTTCACCTCCATTTCTTCCTGCTTATTTGTTGCACAATCGGTTTCCCGTTGCGTGGGTTGGCTCCTAGAGGCCCCTGTTGCTGATGTTTTCTAACCGGCCATCTGGTCTTGAGTATTGAGCAAAGACAAATATTTGTTAAAGTGTGTAGTTTGTTCGAAGTGACCTTCGTGATGCGTCGCCAATTCTCTGATCCATATAGTAAGTAGCACTGACTTCACATTGGAGTTGAAAGTTCGTATTTTATTTTTCATGCTGCGTAGGGTTATTGCTCTACACACAGATTTGAGAGAAATGAAAGATTGCCTTGTTTTCCCGATCCTCTCTGCTCTGATATCCTCATCAGTTCCGTCCGCCTGTAGTTGAAACGATGCTCTCCAGGTAGGTAAAGGAGGTTGCTTATTTCAGATTTCCCCCGTTTATGTTGATTGTTGTCTGTTGCTGTTGATGCGACAGGGGTGGCTTATGTTGATGTATGCCACCCTAGCCTTCATGATATGGTTGGAAATCTCATCCGGCACCCCTCTGCCAACAGGCACACAACTACCCGGATACGCAATCTGATCAACAACTTCAAGCGGTTCACCTCCAAGCAAGAGTAAGTGCAGGTTTAGGCTCCGGTCAATCTTGTAACAGTACTTCACACTTAGACGACACAAAAAACACATGCCATACTTACACACACACACACACACACACACACTGAAAGAAGTCGATATTATTTTCACTTCATCAGTTTTTTTTATTTTCCTAAACAATGAAGATGACGGTGATCTTAGGCCTCCTGTGGTGAGAGCAGGCTGCTAGCCAATTGGTAGACATTAATTCACGTCAATGTCTAGGTCGATAATATTGGCCGTGAGAAAATATGAACAAGGCTGGTTCAACAACTAATCACAGCAGACTTAACGTGGGCAAATAAGATTCGCAAATATATGGCTTAACTTTCCGAGAAACCAGAAACAACCAATCAGAAGACTGTGTTTGTCTGCTTCAATAAGCTTTAATAATGTACATGAAATATATGTAAATACGTACTGATTTCCGTAATAAAACGATCTGTTGCCTGGCCCTTGTCTCCTATAAGTGTAGAGAGAGAGCTGCTACCTTGACGTGCTGGTTGGGCTTGCACATCACGATGACCCGAAAAGCTACACTGACTGGAACTAATGTTCCCGCAGGTCCTACCATGCCGAAAAAGTTGTTAGGATAGTGATTAGGCTAAAAGCAGTTACCAGGATTGTGTAAGAATCTTTCTTACACTATGCTGGGGGTCTGAGGGCGAAGTCGTACTGCTGGGGAACAGAGGTGTAACAGCGGTGAGGCGTTTCCTTCAGATGACCAGCATCCCGACCATCTATGCTGCCTCTCCACTCTGGAGAAAGGGGTTTTTGAAAAGGTCGACCCCAAAAATTGTACATCCTGACTAACCCTACGGTGGTCTGTAACCGGCGGTGAGTTTACTAAAATTGAACCAAACAAAGAAACCAGTTCAGACAGGCCGTGTGTGACCGGCCGGTTTTAAGCAGTTGTCCCCTGGGCTCTTTAACCTTCTCTCTGTTTCAGGTACTCGAAGAATCAATCAACTTCCATGGTGTGGGCAGCCGGGAAGTAACAATCGCTCACACACTCCCAAAAGCACACGAAGAAAAAGAGTGAGGGAGAGAAAGAGACAAACAAAGAAACTTTTTCTATTTTAGAGAACAACAATAACAAAATAACATCAATAACTCACTTCATTCCTCCATCCTTTAAGAGCTTTTATTGGACTTGTAGTTCGTAAATCTTGCATTACTTCAGCAACTGCATTACTACGATCATTTAAATTCGTTAACGACTGATGTATTGTAACACAATGATCACCATATTTAGGATGAGAAACACGAATAAACACTTTGGAGTATTTTAATAACCAATCCAGAAATAGCGGATGAATGAAGCCGACAAAGTAACCGTCCAAAAGAAATTTGTAACACGTATCACGTGATGATCCTTAAAGAATACATATGGTACAGTGGGGAGGGGGATATTTTTTTTGGTTTTTTATAAACTCTCTGAACAAAACGACAAAAATAATAAACACAAAACTGTGCGCTACAACACAAAATAGTACATGACACAACTAATTTTGAAAAATTATTTTTTTTCTAGTGACAGAGAGTTAGTTACAAGGCTGACATTTGTTACCTTATCCAGAGAAATTATGTAGTAGAGGTCAAAAGAAGCTTTATTCATATCACGAATATTTAAATATAATCAAGTAGGGTCAGAACTACTGATTACTTGTATTTACATTGCAATTTATAAGCTCATATTTGACAGATTAAAGTGGGCTAGACAAAAAGACTAACTTACCTTGAACAGGATCGCATTAGGTCAATTTTCGACACTTCATAAAGGCATGTACACAAGTAGGGAGAAGAAAGGTAATGGAAGTACAACAGACTAGCAGGTACATGAGGGAGATTCATTACAGCGAAGATGATTACTGAGAATTTTCAGAATTTCAATATTAGTACTTAGAAGTGATTGTATTTGTGTCAGTGAGAACGATATTGAACCGCATCAATGGCAGTCTCCCAGAAATTCCTTTCGTGGTTCAAACTAACAGTTAAAGACTTCATGGGGTTTGGTGTCATGTTTCACTTTATCTTATTTCACCTAACACTGGTCATCGAGGAGGTTGGTGCCTCGATGTGCTTCACACATTTTCTAGACAACTCAATCAATGATGCTTCAAAATCTTACCGAATTACTTTTTTCCTACGTTGGTTAACATTTTATACTTGACCCCTGATCACCTGCATCAAACGCAAGAAGTTGAAGTCAAGCATTTGTAGTCGAAATCCCTAGTCTTACACTTTTAACGATGGCGTTCCGAATCTGCTGTGTAGTATACTCAGTCTTTTTATGTGAGGACGGCACCATGTTCTTAAACTAGGAGTTAGTGTATATCACTATCTTGTATCTGATATGGGAGGGCGTCGCAAGCCAAATAATCAGTTAATTTTTTAAGGTGATCGGAAGACTCTGTATTGTGTCAGCCCCTTCATATGAAAGGTATGTGTAATCCGATATACCTTAGGTCAACAAGACTATCCTCTGCTTCCAAATCAATACTGGGATTTTGAAGTTGACTAGCAGAATAATGACAATGGAAATCGATGTCGAACTCCACTGGTTGTTATTGCTTCAGATGAGAACTGACAATAAACTTGTAGAGCTTAATCAGTTTAAGTAGGGGGTATTGATTTGTGCAATATATTTCCTAATATCTTTACAAACAAACATTATTGCAGCATTCGTCTATCGACATTCTCATAAATACATTCTTGTCCAGACCTGAGGCTCACTTGGTTTTCTCTGGTTTATTTCGCCAGTGCGAAACTTCATCATTGCAAAACCACTGAATTTAGAACCTTAGGTAATATATCAGTCAAGCTGATCCCTTTGTAATTCTTTTATGGAGGGTTATTTATTTTCTTATAAAACGTGATGATATACATCAGTTCTATGCACTGGAAAATACGGTTAGTTTAGTAAATCGTTAATCACCACCTTAGATTAACTCCCCTGGAGTTGTACCAGCAGGTCTTGCTACAAAACCTCGTTTTGGATTACAGATGGCACTGGCAGCCTCAACTATAACACCAGGAGTTTGATGGTCGTAAACTGTAATACAACTGCAGGTCCGTTCGACTGCTATTCATAATTAATGTTCTGCTCAATGTTTCAGTCATCTTTCCTGAGAAGTTATCACAGTTCCAACCCTTTTCGGAGATTATTTAACTTAGCAAGTTTTTACAATCCGTTTCCCTAATCGGCCTAAATATATGAGATGGTACTATCTATTTATGATACATTTTCCTTTTATTTCGCTTTGATGCCGGACACAGACCATGGCGACTGAAAAGACTTTTAGTGAGTTTATGCTTGATCAGCTTTCGTTGTTTATCATGTTTAGGATGCACCAAGATTGGTCCTTTTCTTCTTCTTCTTCTATCGTATCCATTAAACTCGCATGTTTTTCATGTCATTTCTTTCTCCTGAAAATTCCAGCTCATTATAGTTTTTCCTAATCTCTTACTTTCCTTATGTTCATCTTTTTCTGCTATGTGGAGTATGGTAACTTGAACTGAGGTACTTCCGTGTAGGGTTTTATGTTGAAACTTCATTAGCAAAACAGTTATTTTGGACAAAACATCCGAAATTTACTGGCATGCACTAACCTTGGTGTGAAGATTATGAAAAACAACTTTATCACTGTTTCTACAGTACTTACACAGGCGTAGTATACATTCCAATTACTTCGACTGGTCTAGATTTATAACCTTGTTGGCTGACTTGTGCTTTATATCCAACAGTATGCCCAACGTTATTATTATTATTATTCACAACAGTTCTCCACTTTACATGAACAACTTAAGTAGAAAATCTACAACTAAAAACGTTAGTCTCTTCTTATTTTAAAGCTGTTATTAGGAAAAAGTATCGGTTGCATTAAAGAAAATTCACTTCACTTATTAGCTAGATATCTCTTACACCAAAGTTGACGTAAGAGATTTCTATAACACGAAAAGGTAGTTTTACTAGTCAATAAGGCATCCTCCTGTAAGAAGTTCTGTAATAGGCGAAGGTTACTTAGAAAGAAGCTGACTTTAAGTCTTCGCAATGACCACGAGTGGCGTCGGTGGCACAGCGGTTAGGACGCTCACCGACTATACATATGGTCCGGGGTTCGATCCACGGCCGACAGACGCACTCCTCTAACTCGCTAACTCAGAAATAATGCTGGTAAAGAGGAAAGGTTGGGCATGAGGCTAGCAACCCTATCCTGTAAAATAAACACTGCTACAGAAACTTCAAGCCGCTAGCTTGAGGCCCTATGTTCCACTGGGAACGTGAAGGAAAAAAATGACCACGAGTAATGGCAGGTGACAAAAGCGAAAAAATGGAAGACATCAGAAATAAGAAATACCATCAAATATTTAGACGCATTTTGAAAAAGACTTGTAGTAAGTTAAATAATCTCCGAGATGGATGACACTGTGATATCTTCTCAGGCGACAGAACTGAAGAAGTTGGAAAAACGGTTGAAGCAACAGTTCACCTGCCCTATAACTACACTAAGATTGTTTATAATCAAACCCCTACCTGAATACGATAATTCAGGTGGGTGTCACTCACATGAAGTTTACATGGTTTTTTTATATTGTCAATCCTAAATCACAGAAATGAGAAGGCCTGAATACCATGTCAAGGCAGCAGCTATTAGGTTGCTAAAGCAATAATGGGAAAGGTCCTGCCTTATGAATAGATGTTTATGGAATTCCCCAGCTTTTCGGGGTGAAATAGGTTAAGTGGCTAAACCTACAACTTACTGTCAGCAACTAAATCAAGAAACTACACGTCAACAGATGAGATTGTGATTGTCATTCTTCAAACAGGATCTAAACCACTAAAGTTAGAAGCTGCACTATGTATTACATTAACTTCATGTCACAGCGAAATAGTTTAATTTAGTTGCTGATGGAAACTGCGAGTTAGGAGACTACTAAAAGCTTACTAAGATGCCTTTTATTCCTATGAATACTCGTCTTTATAACCGCTGCAAAACTGATTTTTGACAGGGATCTAACCTTTCGTTGTGTTATAAGCCACCGGCTTTTAAAAGAAGTAAATTTCAAAAGAACATAATCTAATAGCATAATATCATTTAATTGGATTAGACCTAGCCATTCCAAACACACGTTAGTGCTATACATCAGGAAGCAAAAGGCCACCCATACAGAAGTGGAAATCAAGGGAGTCTTAAAACAAGTGCTTTGTGATATCCATTGCTGCACTTATGACAGGGTAAATATTCTGAAAGCTTGGTAAGTTGTACCATTAAATACATCTGTCATCTGATAATAATGGAACGAATATTATCACCTATTTTTCAAGGTCTACAATGTACTACATTTTAGCTATTTCTCCTTATCGTATGCCAATTAATATCCTTTAATCCCTACTGTGAACTACAGTGATTAAGACGGCTGCTTACTTTGTGGCGCCAGTTTTCCAAAATCAGTTAGAACATGAGCTATGACAGCGAGCGAGGTTCAAAACTGCATTCATATCAAAACTACTACATTTACAACTTATAAAGCATGATTTAATTTCCCTATTTTATACTAAGCCTCATACACACCCATTTGATCTGCCACTAGACATAAACAAACTATATTACTATCATTTATCGTTTACAATGAAACATAGACTCATCTTAATCACTATGAATTATGTCATACAAGTGGTGCCGTAGTAACATAGTCTAATCATCTGTAGCACTCTCTTTACTTATTACTTTATTGGCCAGATAAACTTCCTTAGGATATAATGTTCCCCTCATAAAACTGCTCAAAGCTTTCCCTGCTGTTTCACCTGGCTGACTCTGCCTAATGTGTGTCAGTTAGAAACATTAAGTGGTCTGCAGCGACTTCATATTACGCAATAGCGCACACCACAAGATAAATTCACACCACTCAGTTATCAAAACTCACGAAAAAAGATACTGCAAGTAGAAATCAGCAAATACAGTATAAAATCGTGAGGGATATATTGACAACATTTTGTGAATATTGAAAACTTATTGAAGGCAAAATTCTAATTTTAAAAATACAAGAGATAAGAAAAACTACGACTTTCTTCATGTATATAAAATAAGTACAAAACTACGAGATTTCTGCTTAATACTTGTATAAAAAATACAATGAATTTCTATTATGCAAACAGAATTAAGACAATTAACAAATATCAAGTTGAAAAATGATCAATAATTTTCGACCAATACCAAGAGACCATTCGTTCCTAGTCATAAACGAAGAATAGCATCATATTATTTGATAATAAGTAAATCATCTATGAATCCTAACGTTTAACGTGCATTTATGTATCCCAATAATCAAAAGTAATATGCAGATGGCTTAGGTTGAATAGTGCACGCTTTACTAAGTCATAACACTATGGCACGTTCTGGAACTAAAAAATGGTACACAACAGACCGATTGGAAACTATTTGAACTACCTATGTGAAAAAAAGACATCATGCCAATATACTATACCTTTATGCATCAGGCTTACAAGGACAAATTCACTTACTTTTGTAATTAGATTGAACTGGGTAATTGTGCAAAAATGGTTTCATTCACGCATAGGAAATTGATGATCACTCTGGATTAATGGATTTATTATATTATTCTGAGAAATTTATCATTGTATACACATTGAATGGATGAATTTTTGCTGTGATACTGTCACTATTTTACATGAATTCAGAAATAAAAAAGTAATCTTTAAGATTGGACTGTGCCATATGTGTAGCACACATTGCAGTTGACCGGATAGATTTTTTTGGATTAAAATGAGCCCTTCAAGTTATTTCAACGAATAATTATGCCTCATGTATGGTAGAGACAAAAAGCAAATATTGTGTTTGTTATTACAGAGATATATATTTTACACAAGTTAAAAAAACGTTTTGCTAAGTTTCTATATTGATACGGGAGAAATTTATACTAATTTCAACATCTGATTATACAGAGGGATAAAATCCTACCACTATTAGTTTACTCACCTGGTAGCAGAAAATTATTACACTTGTTCAAAACTAGGTTCCGTAAATTTAGAAAGGGCGACACAGCCATTCACGTAGAAAGCCACGAACAAATGTCTCAAAACACAACCAATATGAGTGTTTCGCTCTATGAGTTTCAGAATGCAGTACGGTATATATATTCAAACAGATGACAAAGACGCGAGTAATCAAAAAAATTTCAACTGCGAGTCATGGTGTGATGGCTGCAGCAAAAGCCTTGAATGTTAGATAATTGAAAGATAGTCTCCAAAATGACATCATGTTCCTGTTTATAAATATGACGAATTAGAATTTCATATTGAAAGAAAATATTTGAAAATAAATTTTGGTTCAAAATTCCACTGCCAAATATGTGTAACGTCACCAATTGTGGGTACTCAACATTTACTGTAAGATCCAATGTCTTTGATATTATAGACCCGTTAATCTTTTGCAGTTGCTACTCTCTATTCCAAATTTATTCCACTATGGGATTTCAATGTTGAAAATCCATCCTCTTGATTGTTGTCTCTGCTGAAGTATAAAGGTGAAGGGGTTCCACTCGATTTTAGATTAAGTGAGTGGTTTGATCCAACGACGTTCCTCTGTTGGGACTCGTAAATGTCTATAAAGTACAATCATAAAGACAAGTCAAAAACACTACATAAGAGAACAGAAGGGAAAGTGAATGAATGAATGGAAGAAATAACTGAGAAAAAGAGCAATGAAATGGTATGTGAGACTCATAAGATGAGAAGAAGGAGATCCTGAAACACCGTGTGGGGAACAATAAAGTAAAGCGAGATGGTGTAAACATAAACACAATCAGGATATTTGTGTTGCCGGGGTCATTGATTCCATTGTAGGTCTCTGCGGATTGTTTACTTCGGTATGATGATTCAATCTTCTTTTGAAGTTACCAGTAGATGGAATGGTGGACATTTCAGACAGTAATGAATTCAGTAAGTGGCATATTTGGGGTGAAATATGTTCAACAATACATTTTCACAGCCTTGTTAGTGATAAATTAGTTCTGTAGGGCTATATTGTAGGGTCCCTTAAATACAGAAAGCTTTGGTGACTCGAAAACAGTTCTTAATAAATTGGGTAAAGGTAATTAAGCAGTTAGAAACTTATATTCTCATGATTTGCAAGGTTCTCTCGATCTACTGAGCGCTGTTGGACGATGGGTGCGCTTCTGCATGCTTGAACGGGTTCTCCCGGCTTTACGAACCCACTAGTGTGCTTTCTGACATTAAGACTGCTACAGTGCTATATACACATTAAAGGTAGGTGAGTGGAGTAATTACTTTATTGCAAAAGTCGGTTACCAAGCTGTAGTTCATTGTAGTTAACTCTGGAATCTGCCCTAATATACTCTAGTTCTGCGAAGGAATTTATCGATAGAAATTTGACCAACCTGATCCGGAACCATGATTTGCTCAACTACAATCCTACTTCGACTGACACAACATTGAGTCTCAGAACACCCGGTATGGGGATTAGCTCTCCTAGTAACCTTATCAGATTAACAACGTGGTGTGGAAATTCTTACTACTTTCCATACCCAGCCAACCATATACTATACTTAAATCAGAGGTAATAAACCGACTCTTGGTGCCGAGTGATTTCGATGGAGTCCATCCTTTCTTTTTGCGCCACTTGCAGCAGCTGTAGCTGGACAGCACATGGGGTGATGCTGCACTAAATCAGGGCGGAATACAGGCCTATATGAAGAATCCTGACACTCAAGATCCTGACTCCTCTCACGAACAGTTAGCATGCATCACTGCCACTAGCCGAAATGGGCCCCCAGTTTCCTGGAAACTGCTCCCAGAAAACTGAAAGTAGCAAGAGCTGAATTCGATTTCATGCTTCACTTGGGAAATATCCAGCCCCCCGAGTGGTCAGTAGACTTCAACACTGAACTTAGTGCCGGACAGAAGTCGAACTGAAAGGAGCCCTTGTGGCGAATACAGAGCCATGAATAAGCTAACTGTCCAACACATTGCCCTACATTCGGATAATTGATGTCTCCTGAAGATAGCAACTTGACGTTCTGCGACACAGTCAGACACTCACCCAGGCGACCGCCGCTAAATTTACGGAAACGACAATATTTATTTACCCTCACTTGTCGCCGCAACCTGAGCACAAAGCTTCAGGCAAATTTGTCTCAGTATGATATATCTGGACAGAGCTACGACCAACGTGCAGAAGTTATAAGAATAATAATTTACATTTGGTATAAACAAGTAGGTTTACAAGAAGTGCATGCCATTTCTAAAGGCACGATCAGATATTTTATAAATTACAGTTATGATTTACATTAAATTTGTTTTTCTTTCAGTTTAAATTGTTCGCTTATTGTACAAGCAATCAAGACAGGTTCGTGCAGATATTAAGTTGCGGACCCCTTACTGAAGACACGATCGAAGTTGAGCGACAACCCTATCTTCGTTCCATTTCATGCTGATAGTTATGTTAAGCAGGTAAACAGCGTATATTGGGGGAAGTGGCATGTCCCTAGGTGATTAAAAGCTATTTCAGGAAGAAATGAACGTCCTGGAAAGCTGCGAAGTGGTATCGAATACAATCACGGATAATACATAAGTGAAAGTACATCTACAGGATATATAAAAGAAGGAGGTGTAGACTCGTTGGGATGATTGTACACATTTGAAATGTATAATGCTATCCATATTGGTCTAAGCATGACACTATGACGTTTCCGATGAAAATGTAGCTTTGTTCAAATCGGGTGCTGCTGTGTTTTTAATCAAAGCAACCAGACTTTAAAGAAGTATCAAATATGAACCAAGAGCAAGTTTTAGCTTAAATAAAGGCCTGGGTATTTAAGATAAAGTAGAGTATAATAGTGCGTAAGAAAAGACTATCGCGAGGTGGATAAGTAATATCTAAGTGAAAAGTGAATTCAAGGATCTCGAAGATTTAAATCAATAGGTCAAAATGACCTGTAAAATATTCCATGAATTTCTGTATGGTCCATGGGATAACATCTTGATGAGAAGCTGAACAGGCTTATAGATGGTAGGAGCAAAATCATTTTTTAAAATTTATAAATCATATCTGTATAAAGCTTATTATTTTATTTTTTTACTGAGGGTCCAGACTAATGTTTAATTCTCGAGCTGTCAAAAAATGCATATCGCTGTTCTCCAGATCGGAGCGATTCACGTTTGTGACTACAACCATATCTGATGATCAGAATGCGCCATCCTCCCTCCTTTTTGATGTTAAGCTCTGAGATCTTTCTGCAATATCTGTAGTTGCAGCTTTGTATTGATTTTAGGCTGTCCGAATCATACAGTATGTTGTGCATTAATAGCTTTCGTGACAAGTGCTTCCGATTAGGTCACCAGATACATCAATATCTGAGAACATTCTTAACAGTATCACCTTTATGCATGCATACACGTATACAAGTATTTGTTACAAACAACTAGGAAACTTAGTTTACTTTAGGAAGCATAAAGTGTAGAAGTAGCTGGGATTCTAAAAACTAAGTTATAGTCTATTTAGCAGAAATAAATGGGTAGTGGAACAATTATTGATAAAATTATGTGGAATGATCCTGAAGAAAACAGCTGGTGAACAGAACTAGTTATGGCAGATTTTCAAATGGTATTCGTCAGACACTGCAAAGTAACCCTTCAACTCCTGTTATGTTAAAAACACTGCGAAGTGTCATAAAATTACGCATTTTAGAAAAGTATATGAGCAAATGTATTTATTGACTGAGTGAAGTTATTTTGATACAGAAAGTAGCAGTGTATTAATAATTACATATATGTCAAATAGAAAAGGTGTATGTGCTAATATAATCGTTTCTAGAGTTACTCATACTGATAATATATGTGTAAAACTTGGGCACTGTGGTATTAAGTAATTCCATATTAGTTTGATTATTAAATGTATCACACAGTGAAACAGTATTGTATACTGGATGACGTTTCGAACACAATTTATTGTTCATAATCATATCAATTTTTGTCACACGACTTCGAGATTTGAAATCTCGAAGTCGTGTGACAAAAATTGATATGATTATGAACAATAAATTGTGTTCGAAACGTCATCCAGTATACAATACTGTTTCACTGTGTGATACATTTAATAATCAAACTAATATGGAATTACTCATACTGACCTAACTTATTGAAGATTACAGAGAAAAGAAATTCGGAAAATTAGTTAAACGTTCACTGTGTAAGTAGTAGGGTCGGGTTATGCGTAAGTGACTGCACTGAGCACTGGAATGGCTTTTATTTACCATTCCGCCAACAGTTTTAGCCCTTTTAGATGAGCCAGGGTGGGCATGTTAACACGTCTTTCTAGGCTCCATTTGGACCCATTACAGTTTTCATAGGATCTAATTTCAGATAGTAGTTGACTCCAAAAATTGTAACATTTGATATTTTGTCCAGGATTGTCACCTACTTACCGGGTGTGTTGTTCAATGGATTTACCATGACTGACACAAATTGTGGAGACTTCTATGAGGATATCACTAACACATATTCACAAATGCCTCTGCCAATGTAGTTGAAGAATGAACTATCAGTTCATGGCTATTTACTCAAACCCAATTCTACGTTTTGGCGGAAGTCATCAATACTTCAATCATCGTCACATCGTTCGCTGTTCGTTGGAAGATGGAGAAATACTATCAGAAGTATTATTGTGATTAATTGATATGACATTTATTCTTAGACCTTGTGTATAATAACCTCATTGTTGGTTACGTATTGGATCAAGAATAAAGAATTCTCGATTCGCCAACCCATGTTCTAAATTTTGGCGTTGGTTATTACACATTGTTTCTGAAAGTCTTCTAAGGACAGCGTGAGGTCCAGTATAGTTAGACCTGGACATTGACATTCTGTACAACTTGAACGTGAATCAGAATTAAGGGCGGATGCAGTGGAACAAGGTATCGATAATCATGAGACCGTCAGTGTGATTGATCAGCATGTAGCCCACCTATCATCAGATGCCAGTGCTAAACCTGAGCTGATGGTAAAAGACAGCGGTGGTGGTGGTCTTGCA